CTGTGGTCATTGAAGCCAAAGCCTTCCCAGTGACACCAGCACCGCAGTCTTTGGTTAACTACCTGAATCTTCCTCTCCCTCCTCAGCCCGTACGCCAAGACTGGGAGGATCAAAGAAAACACCACCTGTGCCCCCAGACCCTTTAGCCCCACTCCCAAATCCCTGTAGCGCCTCATGACCCGGCTGGGAGCGCTCCGAGCCATGTCATTGGTGCCCACATGAATAAGGAGCATGGGATAGTGGTCTGTGGGTTGGAGGAGCTTAGGGATCCTCTCCGCAATGTCTTGGATGCAGGCTCCTGGGAAGCAGCAGACTTCCTGGGCTAAGGGGTCAGGGTGGCAGATTACCTCCTCGGTCCCCCTCAGGAGGGAGTCTCCCACAACAAACACTTTACGTTTTGTCTTGGGGAGAGCGGGGGTGGTAGCTGCAGTTGAGCCTGTGTTGCCTGCGGGAGCAAGAAAATTGCATGGATTTGCTCTACAGATCTTGCAGCTCTTTCAGGTTCTGCTGCTGACATTTTACATGTATAAGTATACCCAACAGTTTTCATTTACAAGTATTTTGTTAAATGCTTGGCCTAATGTCTTTGTTAAATTTTTGCACTGTGAATAGGGGCTACAGTATGAAATAAAACATTCAAGCAACTGATAATGATTGGCCAAAAAGAACTGCAGGTGTAACTGTGACCTGTTAAGATAATGCACAGCACTTTGATCGACAGGGTACATGGTACCCTTATTCTAGAGCTGGATCAGAAATGCCTGTTCTGTCACTTAACTGGCCTCTAGAATTCATTAGATTTGAATTTTTCCTATAACAGAAGTCTTTAGCATATCAACTAAAACTATGCTTCACTGTTTCTAAATTTACATAAAATTATTTAAAAATTCAATGATAGGTAGACATTAAAGATCAATGGTATATTTTAAAGGATGAATATTGAATTATAAAGAAAAATACTAAAAGCATGTTCTTATAAAAAAATAAAAACAACTCTCCAAGATATTACAGAGGATGGAATAGTAAGAAGTCCTACACCTGATTTACACATTCATTATTCTTCTAAGAAACCTAATCCTTAATTTGATAATCAACAGCACAAGCACCAAAAACAAACGATGAATCTTTTGTATATGTTTCCCCAGACTCTTATTTCCTCTGTTATTCAGTAATGTATTCTTTTTCTGTACAGGTGTGTGTGGTACATGGTGTGTACAGTTATCACCATTATATGCAGGATCGGGTAGATGATAATGGCTGGGGTTGTGCCTACCGGTCTTTGCAGACTATCTGTTCGTGGTTCAGACATCAGGGGTACACAGACAGACTGATACCAACACACCAGGAGATTCAGCAGGTACAGAAATGGGCTGCATTTCACAAGTATTTACTTATTCCTCTAGATAATGCTATAGAATTTGTTGTTAATAATATTTCATTCATTTTTATAGTGCTCTGTAAAACGAATGTTTAAATATTTTAATTTGTGATGGTAGTGTTGGAGTGATATTGTGACCATGATGCTAATTTGTGATGGTGGTCTCTAATTTTTTTTTTCATATTTGATACTCACCAGGTTATGTAAGACCTCAGAAGCATTACTTGTAGAAAGTTTTGTTACAAAGGTTAGGGAAAAATAATAATGATAATAATTAAAGTGTGTGTGTGTGTGTATGTGTAATTTTATAGTAAATGGCATAAAAATAGCTGTCCTTTAGTTCAAAACAGACCTGTTTGGATTTAATTTATTTGGGATAATATTCTCTTAGATGCTCAAATTGTAATATAAAAGCAAAGCATGAACCTGCAGTGTTTGCGAGGTGTGAGGACAGAGGGGCCAATGCATCATGTTAAAATCAGTTAAGATACCTTTTTGTCCCACCATTGAGCATGAGAGGATTTTTGTTTCTTTTTAAATGTTCCTGGAATTAACATTCTTTCACTCTTTGAGAGAGATCTATATGCATGTCTTGATATATTTGCTTGTGTAAGCATTTTTGGAGAAAGAATACATGTTTAAGTAGCACTATTCATCCAAAGCAACACTTTGAAAGTTTGTCTTTAAAGTCTCATGAAAGTAGGGCTTTGTGATTTATTTATGTATGTAAGAAGCATGTAGCAACATGTGGCTAACTGCACGAAAGAAGGCAAGAGATTCACGTTCTGCTCACCTACACCTATAGACAAGTCAAAAATCTCTGTTCAATTGCTTCCTAACCCTAACAGCATCTGAGTTCATAGGAGCCTAAGTTTAATCAGTAAAGTTTTTTTCTGTCAAAATATCTGCTTCTGGGCACAGGAGTCCAGGAGTTCTTCATTCTTGATAGTGCTGAGTTACTAGGTGCCTATTTTACTGTTTCCTTATTTTATTTTATGTTAATTGAAGCAGAAAACCAAACCTGTGTCTGTCTCTTTCACTAGTACATGCCCTAATCACTATACCCAGAGTGTCAAACTCATCTGGCCCTACCGAATGGATAAGTGGTGTGGGACAGGCCAAATGAAAGGTGAATGGCTAGCCCTGCGGGCACTTGACCAGGGCCAGTGTGTAACTGCAGCACCCTTGGCTGTGTGTAACTGCAGCACCCTGCAGCATCCTGGGCTCTGTATGCAGGGCTGATCCAGTGTGTGTGACCTGAGTCAGCTGTAGCCCAGGGGCAGCACCAGATGCAGCCCACAGACTGAATTTTGACACCCCTGTACTGTATTGTGAAGTCATTTTTTCTGTCTCCTTCCCTCATTCAGTGAATATTTAATTAGTCCTTGCAACATAGACAAGTTCCAATAAAAGGGGATGGTGAGAACTTAACCCTAGAATACCCTATAATTTGGTGATTGAAGTGCATGTCTGGGATATGGGAAATATGGATTGAAATCTTCTCAGGCAGAGGTGGGAGTCAAACCCAGATCTCCGTGAATGCTCTTGTCAGTGAATTATTGGTTAAAGGTTGGTGGGGAGGTGGCAACTGTGGTGGCAGCATGCTGGTAACACCCATTTCCTTTCCTTCTGTAAACCCCCAGAGCAGACTGGGTCATGGAGAGAAGCGTAAGTTGTCTTCCGCTGGCTGTATTCTAAAAAGAGCAACACCTGCTTAACTTTTGAAAGAAAGGGTTTGGGCACCTAGCTTCAGATGGATTGTTATGGTCTCTGAAGTCTGAGGTGACTATCTCTGAGCTTTGGATTCTCCAGTGGGGATCAGATGCCTGAAAGTTGGGAACTTTGCTGCTCAGCACCATAGCACAGAAGTCCCTCGGACTCTACATGATGGTGACTTCAAAGTATTCATATTCTACAATAATAGTTGGCATTTAGGCCATCCTTTCTATCTGTATCTTTAGCTCCATCAGATTTAAAAGTCAAAAGCAGCTGAAATGTTAACTGTGAACCCACTTGACGATGAAATAGATCTGCTTTTGTTGGAAGGAATAAAAATGGGCCAGGGGTATCATTTTCAGTTTCTTTATGCACAGAAATTGGAAGCAAGTTGTACAGGGAATATAAAAATCATAGTGGTTTCTGTTTAAATATACAGTTAAGATTTTTAGATTAATCTGCAATAAGGTTACTGTGTGGGCCGGGAGCAGTCCGAGGTTCTCGGGGGCACACGGCGGGCTGTGGCCAGCAGCCCTGGCACGCGGGTCGGGGAATGCAGACCGGCGGGCTAGAATTAGGCACGGACGCTTAGCGGTTGATTAAAGATTATTTTACTTACACCGAAGATGGTCGCGGTGCAGGCAGGAAAACTTGCTCGAGTTGCAGTTACAGACAGAAAAGAAGAGAGGCGGACAAGAGTTCCTTCCACGTGAACCTCTAGCCCAATCCAGTTGAAGGCTCTAAACACGCGAGCCCGTCGTGTCAACCGAAGAAAACAACTCGGAGAAAGAGCTCTGGATACACTCACACGAAGTTTGCTAGGCTCCGTGGAACTTGCGCGCAGGGAAGGGGTTTGTCGAGGGATCGTTTGGCGACGGGGAGAGGCCAGAGGTTGATCAGACCCCTATAGCCTTCTCAAGGTATACGCTGGGTCCAATAGGCTCCGCAGCGCTTAGAGATCTTCACGAGACGTGAAGTTCTCCTCCTCCAGATGGTTGTGGAGTCCTCCAACTTGGACGGAAACCACTCAAGCCTCTTATACGGCTAGCAAGCCAATCACTAGCCGCCACGTGGGAATAATTTAGAACTGGCCAATAGTGGGACACAAATTTGCATGCGAATGGCAGGAACTCCTTTGCACCGTGCATTTCTCTTTGCAGCTAAGAAATGCACCCTGCAAAGAAAGCTCCGAGTGGCGGGAAATAATTTAGCAGTGCCGAAGCACACACAAACAAAATCACACCCTTGGGTTGTGACAGTTACATGCACAGAATTTCTCATAGATTATAAACATTCTCAAAACAATGTGTTTGAAGGAAAGTCAAAGCAAAACTAGACACTGTAACTAGCATTCTCCTTATGTATAATATTTAAGATGGTATTCTAATCTATAGATATGTAGAAATTAAGCAACGTTGTTCTTAGGTGGTGTATACATAATATTTCCAGACCTGAATGCAAATTGTTACTATATTTAAACAGGATGTTTTGTTGTTAAATCAGTCGTACCCATATTTAATAGCTGTTTTTACTTTTGGCACATTAGGTTCCAAAAAGGTTGTGGTATATAAAAATTAAGTGTGTATTATAGACAGAAACTGAAGAACTGTTTATTACATACTGTTTCTTTTTCTGGTGGTGGTTATAAAGGCCCTAGTTGACGTTGGAGACAAACCAGCAGCATTTGTTGGATCACGGCAGTGGATTGGCTCTATTGAGGTACAACTTGTATTGAATCAGTTACTGGGAGTAACATCAAAAATACTGTTTGTCAGGTAACTACCATTATTTACTAATTTTGTGGCTTGGTGTTATTTTTCAGAGGGAAGTAATATAGGAATGCTAATTTAAGAAAATATAGAGAAGTGAGATATTGAATCTTGCATTACATAGTCATGAATTCATATCCAGAGGAGGATTTTGGTCCTTCATGTGAAGAAAGTAGAGTTCTGTTTAAATGCAGGATGTCTGTTTGTGAAGTGCTTCCTGCAGGACTGGGACCTAAGTCTGCATTTACTATAAACAGTTTAGTGGCCTAAATAACATGAGCTGGAAGTGTGTCCAGTTTCAGTGCTCCATTACAAGCACTACCTCTCAACAGATGCACTTGTTGACAATGTCATTCGGAGAGCTTAAGTGTATGAACATGAAAAATAATTTATTTTTTCATCTGTAGAGCTAGTTTCTTCAGTTCTAATTTGTATCATGTTTTGTAGGGGCATATGAATAGTTCTTACTATTAGTATCTGTCCTTAATTTGTGTAATAGAGGAAAAAAGAACTTTAGCTTCTAGGTCCAATAATCTGGCTAAATTTGGCACTAAACTAACTAAACATATTTTAGGAAAAGAGCAAGGATGCACAGCCTTCTAACTACCCTATGAAAGTGTTACTGTCATGCATACAAACTCCCCTAGATTCCACTTTCTATAGTAATATAGTATGCAGGATGACCCCAGCCAGACAAACTTGTTAGTTATCTCCATTTAGACTGATTTCTACTACAGCTCTCCTAAAAGAGCATGGTGGTACTAATTCTAAATGTCAGGGAATTAATTCATTTCTTCAGTAGTTTGTGCTGTAAAGTTTTCTCTATCTTGTAGCACTTGTTCTTCCTTTAGATGCTCTGCATGCTTTCTAGATGCTGTTTTACCAGTTCCCAGAAATGGGACTTCAGCTCGGTTGCCTTAGGCCCTGATACTGGTGTTGATCACCTGCCCACACACAACTCGAAAACACCCTTCCCCAGAGCTCTTACCTTGTGGACAGTCTGGGTTTACAACTTCACCTTTTCCAGAACATGTAATGGTTCAAACAGATGGCTGCCTAGACTTGTGGGTTTTTTGTAACTTTACTAGTCACACAGAAATGTGCAGATCTAGATAAAATCATCAGATCTCCTGAACATGTTTCCTTGTCACAATGTCTTCACCATTCTTGGGTGTTTTATGGCCTTAAATTGTAGTATCCAGTTTTTCCCAGCTAACAACCCACTTCCATTGCAAACCTGACTCTTCCAATAGAACATCTAAGATGTTTACTGTAAATGCTACAACTCTTAGAAAATTTGCTGTAAAGTAGGGCAGTGTGACTTCTGAGTGGCAGAGGGCCATGCAGACCTCATTACGCCCCCCGCCCTCCCCCCCAACCTCACTGTGCATAAGATGCTAGTAAGGATGCTAACAATAATGTGTTTCTTACCTAGCCAGGGTTCTGAGTTAGCTTCTCAGGGAAGAGAACTTGCTAATCATTTCAAGACTGAAGGAACTCCAGTTATGATTGGTAAGCATACTGATAATGAAGAATGCTTGCAAATGTTTGTGGACTATTTCTGCTCATTTTCATTCTCACATAAAAACATATAACTACTTAGTGATGCAGTAGAACTTCTGAGTATCTAATTCAACCTGAATGTATTATACAAGAGTTTAATTAAAATGCCAGATTAACTGAAGTTCACTTATTCCCTGTTGCAAACTGGAGGACCATGAAAAGCTAGTCTGTCTGGTAGCTTGTCAGTGTTACCTAGCTTCCCAAGTTTAGTATAGAGCTGGCTTGCTGAGATCAATCTGATTTTTTTTTTTTTTAATTAAATTGTCATTAGAAAGACCACACACTGGTAGCAGCAGGCAGAAACTAGGGCTCCCTCCTTGCTTTGCTATAGAGATAGGTTCCGTTTTATGTATCTCCTGATTTAGGAGTTGATACATTTCTAGATGGAACTAAATCACAACTGATCTTGGGTAGAGGCAGGTGTCTAGGATTGTTTTCACTTTGGATGGTTTTCAAGCATATATAGAAGGCTAGAAAGCCAAGTTGCTTAGGGATCTTTCCAGATCAAAACGGAGATGTATAAGTAATCTCTGCATTGTAGTGGTTTGATGTTGCTGTGCAGGGTGGAATAGGACTGAGATTAATGACTCAGATGCATAAAAGCAGTATAAATGTCACTTAGAGGCAGAATAGAATTAAGGCTGCTATCTTCACAGAGTGCTGGGCAGAGGCCAGTGTCCCTCTGCTAAATTACATCTGCAAAAAATCCCATTGTGATGCACATTATACTTGGCTTTGTCACAGGAAGCATTAATGTTACCCTCTGACTGTAGACATTTTTTTAATATGCAGTTAAGTTCTGTCATTTTCCTCAAAGATCCCTGCTCCTTTACATTCCTTCTTGTGATATTTTAGTGGCAGTTAGCATACTGAATCACTGTGGCAGTAGTTAGAGGAAGGGGGTGGTCTTCCACGTTCCTCTACATATAATCAATTGCTAAAAAGCTCATAAGACTGGAGCCAACAAACGCCACAGAATACCTTCTCCTATTGTTGCAAGCTGGTGAAAGCAAAGTCCAAAACCATGCTTCCAACAAACTGAGTGAATTTCTTAGCTGCCACTCTCTCTGGTTCAGAAATTCAGCTCCTTCCCACATTATCAGAAGAGCAACTGGAGGAGTGATGGAGGCAGGTACATCTGGACAGTAAAATTTATCCTTTTATGAAGGATCTAAGAACTGAAATTTATTTTCTCTGTTTCTGAAACTTCTACGGGAAAATCAGCTGTTGGCTACAAAATGTCCAACTCGGGATCCTTAAAATTCTAGTTTATTAGGCGGATTGAAACACTGTAATCATAAACCTTGGGGCTGGTCCACACACACACACACACACACACACACACAAGGCTTCTTTCAGTGTGGTGTTATCTTCCAGAAGGGGGTCGCCGGCTGGTCCTTCTGGCTGGGCAGGGCTGGTCGAGTTGGAGATCAAGAGGGCGCCACTGAGGGTCACTTTTCACTGCCTTTTATCTGTCCCTGGCAGACTTTGGTGACTCCCCAGTTTTCAGGTTTGCCCAATCCAGGGGTCATTGACCCTCGTGGGACTTCCCCCCTCTCGGTGGCTACTGGACGGCATCTGTCAGCCCCAGGGGTCGTCCGCATGTACGTGCAGGTTTGGGAGTCCGTTGATGAATTTTGAATAGGGCTCTGGGAACGGTTGATCTGGAGATATTCAGCCCAGAAGTTGGTCTCTGGCGTTGATTAACTCAGGCCAGGGCTTCTAGCCTTTGATCAGTGACGTTTAGAGATTTCCCGGTTGTTACATTGTCTTCTATTGATTTCTTCCCTTGGTTGATCTGCAGCTTCCCAGGTGTTAATTGCTGTGTGCTACCTTGTTACACATTCAATCACTGATTCACTCGCTCTTTCAGGGGCCAGCCTGATACAGAGAAGGACAGTTTGATTCCTGCCCTTGTTAACATTGTTACAATGTATAACTTACTAAAACACATTTAGTTGAAAGTTGAAAGGTGAGGAGTATAAAATATAAGCTACAAATGCCATGGCGCACAAATAGATAAAAATACCAAACTACAAGGGGAGACACAAAATGCACACATACACATTTTAAAACACAATTCCTTATCTTAAAGTGAAAGAAAGAGGAAGGAAGAAAGGTAGAAAAAGAGAAACATATCCAAAGAAGGGAGAGCAAATGCAGGCAAGAGGAAAAGGGGGCTTTCTGCTACACAGCGATAGAAGGCATTAAGACATGCTATGTAGTTAAAGATGTTACCCCTCCATCAGACTTCTTGGCCTATTCCAGTAACTTGTTATATAACTTTGGCCAAAGAGGGAGGTGTATAGCATTAGTGGAGAGACACTACATTTAAACTTTTTTTCTGCCTGTGTAGAGAAACACTGATTAAGTTTTTAAGGTATGCTACAGTCAAAATATGCAGAGAATCTCCATGGCAAGTACCTACCATAATGTATTTGATTTTTAGATGCTGCTTTTGGAGTACAAGGTGTCTAGACATGTCTTCAAGTCAGTAGGAGAAAATAAATACTGAAATATAATTTGGTTTCTTCTACTCCATACTGGCCTCAGGCTGGTCACCCAGTTTGTAACCTCCTGGTGGAGAGATGAGGTGTAGACAGGTGCTATTTGCCTTTTGGTCCTTTAACACGTGTCCTTTTAAATACCATCTTAAATGTGTTTAAAAGCTAACCATGGTGTGTGCACAATAATATTTGCTCCAATTTTGTGTGTGTGTGTGTGTGTGTGTGTATTAGTTTTCTTATCTTTGTATTTACTGCTTACAATTTGTTAATTACCGTATTGTTTTGATTTTAGCATTTATTTTTGGGGAAGTTTCTCATGCTGGTTTCCCCTTAGAACTGACCTTTTTTACAGAGAATGGACAAAACAAGTATATTTGATAAGTTCTTATCTTTATCCCATAGAGCTGCTGAGGGTTATATTAGGTAGTGCTGACATAGGAGAGACTTTAAGAAACCAAATTAGTGATATGTTAAATTTCTTTTGTAGTAAGCTCTGCTTTTTTTGTACAATATTGTCCTCAGTTTGGCTATGTTTATAGTTCCAGTATGATTTTTTTTTTTAATACCCTTGAGAAGAAAGCTACACATAGGTCTATGTCTGCAAACCTAAAGCATGAACATACCCAAATGACAAGGTAGAGCTGCACTTTATAAACTAACTGAATCAGAGCTTTCATGAGCCACAGTTTGCTTCATCATATGCTGTGATAGCATGCTTATGATAGTATCTGATGGTGAGCTCTTGCTCATGAAAGCTTAAGCATCTCTAATTCAGTTAGTCTATTAGGTGTACCTCTACTTTGACTTCTGCCTGACTTCAGACTAACACAACTACCTACCTCTCTATACATTGATAAACAAAAGATAAAATGCAAATCTATCGAAGAGTACAGTTCTGAATAATTCAATACATTTTTTTTAATCCAGGTGGAGGTGTTTTGGCTCACACAATCCTGGGAGTGGCATGGAATGAAATTACAGGAAACATAAAATTTTTGATTCTAGACCCACATTACACAGGAGCAGAAGATCTGACTGTTATCTTAGAAAAGGTGAGAGTCTAAAGTTGTTTTGTTTCATTTTGTTTTGTTTTTTGGCAACCTATATATATTAACATAATATGACCAGTATTGAAAGAGATCTTCAGGCTTTTGACAGAATAATTTAATTTCTCTTAAAACTCTTTAGTGTACAACATTTAGATATATTTATAATTTATTATATGTTACATGCGCACAAATCTCTCTCTCTCTCTCTCTCTCCCTTGCACACACTTGCATGCAAGCAATTTTTTTTTAGCCAGAAAAGGAAGTCATTTGAGATTTAAATGGTTTATGTATGAGTCATTCCTGCATAGGTTGCTCAAGACTTAGATGGAGAAGTGAGCTGTACTATGAAGGAAACACTGATCCTGTCTATAACAACCAGTCTGTAGGTCAGCTGAACACACGTACCAGTTTAACATACAGTTTTAGACCAGTAATTATCAACCAGGATGTTGTGGCACCCTAGGGTGCCTCCATATCTTTTGAAGGGTTCCATGAGATGTGAGGAGATAAGTGAAGTGTTAGGAGATAAACAGATAGACTAAGCAGATAAGTCCTGGATGAGGCAGGTGCCTCAAGTCCAATGAGGGGTGCCTAGAGTATAAAAAGGTTGCTAACTACTGGTTTAAATACTCCTGACCTCTGGAGCTTAAATTGGCTAAAGGAAAAGTGGAGGTTCTTAGAACAGTTAAGTTCACAGTAGGTGAAAATGTTCTTTACTTACCTACAGACTGAACAGTCCCAGTGGTGCTACATTTTTACTGGGTGTTGTGTGACCTATCATAATTTATACACACACAAACTAATACCAGTATTTTTGGAGAAATTTTACCTTAAATTAGGAAACCATCTTTTTTTTTTTTTTTTTTGCACTGATAAGACAAATCATTTATACTTTTAAAAAGAGCAAAGGGTTCAAAGACCCAAAACTATCGCTCCTCACCCCCTCCTTCCCAATTAAGTTTGTCTGTCCCCCAATACAAATGGATATGACCAAAGCCTATCCAAGAAACTGGTAAGGAGCCACCTTAAAAAAAAAAAAAAAATGATGTGAAAACAGTAATAAAACTGTGAAGTTCCAGTATTTAAGAAGAATAAAAGTGATGACCCAAGGAACTGTGGGCCAGCTAGTCTGAAGTTAATCATGATCATTTGGCACACTTTTGGAATTAGAAGCAAAAATATATTAATACCAGTCAGCATAATTTTATTAAACTGAATTTGTCAAACAAACCTGTTTGTTCAGACAGGTATAATCTGGTTGATAAGAGCAACTCTGTTGATATGCAGTACTATATCTGGATTTCTCCAGGTCATTTGATTCTATGCCATATGGCATTTTGATCAAGGAGACTGCATTATAGGGAATTAATGGGCACATTTTAGATCAGTGATTCTCAACCAGGATGCCAATGCACCCTGGGGTGCCACAAGATCTTTTGAAGTGTGAGGACATAAGCAGGTTCAAGGAGATAAGTGCAGGTTCAGGCTCTTGTCTGCCTGGCCATTTTTCCACCCCCACTTCCTGCTCCCCTTTTCAAGGAGATATGCTCTGTAATAAATTACTTTTTTTAATGGGGTACTGCTCAATTCACAAAAGTTATGATGGGGTGCATTGAGTCTAACAAAGGGTGCCTTGAGTCTAAAAACTTTGAGAACCACTGCTTTAGATAAAGTAGACAATAGATAGGTCACTAACATCTCAACATGCCGCTCAATTGGAAAATATAACTGGTTGGATTTGTTTCTATTAGGGTTCCCCTAGGATTGATTCTATATTATTTAATACTTCTATAGACAATCCAGATGATGATGCAGCATATCTTGCAGGATTTTTTACCAGGCTAGGGTGACAGGCATCTTCACGTATTTTGCTTTTCTAACTTGTTCCAAGCCTAGGCATCAAACTCAGGGCTGAGGATTCCAGGAGATGGTCTGGTAGTTGGGCATTTTGAGGTCAAATTCGTATGGTTCACTAGCTGGTGTCATGTGGGCATATCATACCTAGTGACTTCCCTCTCATTGTGGGGACTTTGGACATCAGTATCTGCATCTGACCTCTGTTTATCTGTATAACAGTGTGTAAAGCTGAGATTAAAAAAAGTTAGGATCAAGTAACCAAATAAAGAAGGAAAATTCCCTGCTACTGCAAGGCATTTACTAGGGTCTAAATATTTACCAGAAATATCCACTAGACTCCAAGACCCCTAAGAGCTTAAGTATAAGACCCCTAAGATCTTATACTTGACCCTGTGGTGCTTTCAAACAGCTACCACTAAAGAACTGATCATACATCCGCCATGAATGCAGATGTAATTTTACTTCAGAGTAAAATCTGAGGTAAATTACCCTTGGGCAGGTATGTCTTGGGTCTGCATCTTTAAATTGGTAGCAGTAGTTTATGCTGAGAAGCCCATTCAAATGCAGTTTTTCAAATGTTTCTTTAGATTTTTGCTAAGTTTTTGTTTTGGTCACTTTGGACCAGAACCAGCTTGGCCAATCTGTTTAAAAAAAAAAAAAAGGTTCCTTTAGCGGCCCCCCCCCCCGGGTGCCTGTTTCATACCCCATACGTTAAAATGGGGTATGAAACAGGCCTTTTAGCTAAACATCCTTCCTTAAGAGAGAGAAGCTGTTAAGCGTTCAAAGACTCTTTCAGGCAGTGCAAAAGAACTGTAAGATTATAAAAGACTGAGAATACTTGAAGAGCTTTTTCTTTTTAAAGCCAATTTGAGCAAGTACCCACAAAACTTTGTGGATATCACTTGGCTCTTAATTGTGTAGTCCTTGTATCTCAGAAGCTAACCACATAATAGTGTTCTGAGTCTGCAGACTGGCAGTTTCAGTGTCTTCGCTGTTTCTCTTAGCTTTGCCAAGTTGTGGCAGAGTGAAATGCATCAGTGGGTTTCACTTCAGTTCATCCTGCAGGTTGGATGACTGTGAGTCACGCCATAGCTGTTCCGGAGAATTACAAGAAGGAGTGGTAGGAATTGGAACTATTCAGTAAGAAAGGGATCTTAAAAATGGGAGACTGTGAAAATGGAAGGGTTCCAGAGTAGTATTTTCACTGTGGCAGCGGAAGACTCTGGACTTCAGGAGACACAGTTAGAGCATATTTTTTTGCAGCCTCAGCTTTAGTAAACCTATTTAAATAGGAGCTTGAGTTAAAAAACAGGACACCCAACTAGGGCCCAGAAAAAACACCTGGATAAGAATCCCAGCCTGCTCTTTCTGCCCAGAAGCTAAATTTGGGCATTGTGCTTCAACAAGTCACGGAGACCCACACTACTCTATTCCCCTTTTATAGCTGCTCCTCACTAGCATAGCAGGTTTTTAGGGTTTTTTTTCAAGCCCTGAGACTGGTCTGGTCATGGTATTGAACATTCATAGTTAACTAAAATAATAAAATACAATAGATCCATGGTTATCTGAACTACCTTGAAAAGCACCATCTTAAGAGCAATTCAAATAGCTGAATTTGTTTGGGGAAGTAGTAACAAGGTTTGTGAGAAGTGCAGCATCTTCCCTTCATTTGTCTTTGTCTATGACTGTTGCTTTCCCAGCATTTCCCAAACCTCATGGGTTTACAGCCCCCCAGTAGTAAAATCAAGCTCTCGCATGCCCCCCTACTTCAGCTGCCTCTGCTGATTCCCATGTCTATCATTAGTTGGCAGTGAAGGGAATCAGTGGCAAGGCAAAGCAGGGGGCTACCACTGACTGATGTCATGATTTGCGTATGAATTTAAGATGTAGCTGTCATCAGCTGCACACTGAGCATGCTAACTTAAGGTGGCTTCTTACTTAGAGTACTAGCTGCTTTGGATGCTTTTTTGAAGTACCTAACTCTCCTGTGCCCTGAATCTAGATTCCACTCAGGACCAGACGCTCCTGTTGGGCGCTTGAAATGCCTAATGTTTCGGTCTTTTTGGTACCTAGCTTTCTGTCTGTAGGCTCCATTTTTTGCATTTGGTGTAACTAGTAATTACTAATTACAGCCCCAACCCCACAAGTATTTACTGGTGCTAAGTTTTAAGCAAGTGAGGTGTCTCAATGACTTGAATAAAACTTCATGTGATAAAAGTAACTTCACATGTAAATGTTTAACAGCTGTAAAGTTCCAAGAAGTTTCAAAGCAGACTTGTCTATTTTTGAAAACATAGTTTGATAATACTTGATTTGATACAGAATTAAAAAAGAAACATAATATATGGTTTGAAATCATCATCTTCAGAACAGAAAGTAGCAAGTGGGGTTAATCAGCTTATTAGCTGTTGGGCCAATCAAAAGTAGAAACTTTGCAGTTCAATTAATTCAGTATAGGCATAATGACAATTTTCAGATGTAATGACAAGGCCTTTTTGACTGTAAACCTGTCTTACAGAGAATTGTATTTTGCTTTTTTCTTTACAGGGTTGGTGTGGATGGAAGGGTCCAGACTTTTGGAGCAAAGATGCTTATTATAACCTGTGCCTGCCTCAGAGACCAAAAACAATATAAATTCCAGTTCTAAATATCACATTAAGCCAGACTTATTAGTCAATATAGTTACAGCTGGCTTGTTTAAAATGAACTTGCAAGGTTTTTAGAAAACCTTCATTTCTTTTCAGCTGAAATAGTATTTTGTCAGTCAAAGCCAAGTTGAAGTAGAAATAATATTTGAATATTTTCTGTGGAGATTAGGCAAGCCTTTGTAAATAAAAATGTTTAAAAAGTGAAAAAAAATAATTTGTATTTAATTCTGTTTTTATTAAGAAGCTGACCTTTCCATTTCCACCTGGCTGGACTAAGAGAGAGTTATTCATAAAGCATTTTTCAACACAAAGCATTCTTCAGTGTTTTGCAAAGTCTGTGTCTGCTCCTTCAACCTTTAGCAGTGATACATAATATACTGCAGCTCCTGATTACAAGTGGCTCTTCACCTTAACCTCCTACAGCTTCTTGGAGACTATTTTATTGCATGCTCTGGCTAGGATTTTCCCAGAATTATGAATAATGGAATGTGTGACCTATTGCTGTCAGTCATGGTACAAGTGCTAGGGGTGCCATACATAATAATAATAGTTCCGCATTGTTATAGATTAACCAGTGAGGCTGCATTACTATACGTTTAGCTATTTAATTGTAGTAGTTTAAGACAAATAGATGCATACATTTAGTAAACACTAAAGGGGTGTATTGCTTTTAAAAATATTTTCCTTGTTGGCCTGTACTAGAGATTTCTCTTTGAACCGCCACAGTTCACAGGAAGGGTGTCTCCTTGCAATTACTGAAGTGGTTCTTGAGTCAGTAGGAACTGTCATTGCTTTACTTACATGAAAAATATTTCTATTCCTGATTACGGTGCCAGAACTGTGTAGACTAGCTTTGGCTCCATAGTGAAGTAAGGCAACTTTTCAACAGCATCTAGTAGTATCACAAAACATGACAGATGGTAGAGCTGCTATAGTATACAATGTTATTTTTCTAATTGTTATTACCTTGTATACAGAGCTTTGGATAGGAGGGGTAGAGGAAAACAGTTTAAGTCCTAAGTATTGTAAACTTAAAGGAAAGATCCAAGAAGAGAGTATGCTATACGTATATTATAAGTGGTCTACACATACATATATACACACTTTACAGCTGTATGAATAGAAGTATTCTAGAAAAACAATCGGTCTTCTCCAAGAAGTAAAAAAAAAGTAGTGTTTCCTCCTTCTCAGAAGGGGATAGCAAAACTGTCTATATTGGGCTGCTTAGTTTATAGTCCAATACCATGTCTGCAGATTTCAGATTCTTCTTAAAGATTCCTTTCACAGTTGCAGGTTTCCCTAGTTGCAGTCGGACACAAGATCTGGTCAAATAAAATTAAGAAGTTTATTTATAAAAAGGCTTCATATGAATTAAAACACAGAATTGTAGTGAGAGAGCGCTGCTCAGCATTTCTCTTTCTCCTTAACTATAAAACAACTTCTATAACAGTATATGGCTACCTGAGACTTCATGTAACCATTTTTATTTTCTGTGGGAAATATCTTCTTAGATCATTTATTTTTTCTACAGAGCCTAAGTCATCTTTGTATAAACGCATAGGAAAAGGTCTAACCATCACTACCACCACTATATATCTATTACAAAAATTAGGTAATGCATGTAAGTATAAACTTGGGTTTATCCTAGCCCAAGGTGTCTTAATATTTAAGGTAGATAAAGCCATAAGGTACATACCATTTAATCTTCTTCTCTTCCTGTTTATTGGTCCATGAATTCCAGATTCTCTTTTCTGACCAGCTGGAGCCTCTCTTGGCAACCGACAATTGTCACTGAAGGAGTAGCCAGATTGTTCTCTCAGTTTCATGTTCCGAGTACGTTTAATTGTTGTGAGGAACTTGGCACATTCCAGAAATCCAGCAGCCAGCGCTATGTCTTCTGCTGTCTGCCCATCATTATTGCACAGGCTGAAACACACAAAATGAACAGCTAGCGGTCAATTCAAATTTAGAGTGCCTAGGACCAGGCATTCACCATCATTCCTAGCTAAAATCTTGAGAGGAACAGAAATAAAGTTGCAGATAAATTGGAACAGGAAATTATTTAAGGTATAAGGCATGAAGAAAAAATGGCTGAGAACAGAAAAATAGGAGATGGAATGGAAAGCTCATCTACTAAAGGAATAATGTATCGGTTAAGCTCCACCCAACAGCTGTGGCAAAGAGGTTTCTTCCTCTAAACCAAAACTGAAACAATTAAACTGTGTGTATAGTACAATTAAACTATGTGCATATATAACGGCTATGGTGATTACACTTTTTTTTTTTTACGAATCTTTTTTTAAACATAAGTGTGCACAGGCAGGTTGCACTCATGCTTATGGACCAAATATGAAGTTTGAACAGGAGAACTTGGAATGGGCTTCCAAGGGAGGTGGTGCTCTCCCCTATCTTGGGGGTCTTCAAGAGGAGACTGGACAAGCACCTGGCTGACTCTTTCCTCCCCAGGGCAGGGGGTTGCACTCGATGTACTAAGGTCCCTTCTGACCCTAAACATCTGTGAGAAATTTCTGCATTAAATTAATTTTGTGTTCATGTCTAAAGACCCTAGCAGAAGGTGCTTTGAAGGCTAACCCATGAACTGGTTGGCTGTAGCTGTCTACTCACTCAATTCTGGCGTGGCTGGCCACCAGCAGAGCGAGACACTCCAGGCTCCCAACTTTAGCTGCCTTATGAATTAGTGCTTCCCCAAGGCAGTCCTAAACACCGAAGGAAGAAAAAAAAAAAAAAGAGCTTCTGGTTAAGAGGGAGGAAACGCTTACAAGCTTTTCCCATCAATATTTAAAGCTACGAGTCCGGGTGATCGTTAGTCCAGAAAGGGTCTAAAAGCCTGTCCCGAGCTGAGGCTGAAGCTGGTTCCTTTTTCCTGCTTCCCCTTACTTTGTCAGGGCTCAGTTTCAGACGGTTCAAGTGTCAGCCCCGCTGGCAGGAAAGCAGGGGACCGAGCCCGGGCCGCGCGCCCAGCCTCCAGCCCGTGCCCCGAGGAAAGGGCCAGGCGGGGGGCGACGCCAGGCTTCTCCCCCGCCACGGCCGCCAGTGGGGGCAGCTGCGAGCAGGGCAAGAGCGGGCTCACCCGGAGAGAGGCTCACCCGGAGCCAAGCAAGGGGCACGGGGGCGCGGCAGAGGCGAAGGGCGGTCCGCGCGATCATACTGTTTGGTGTG